AGAGGAAGAGGAAAAAAAACATATATATGTGCATAAGCAAGAAAGTAGAAGTGGAATATTATTGATGATAACATGCTTGATTGGGTCACTGTGCAGTTTATTCTAGATGGGAAATTACATTTAGTACGCTGTGATGATGCTCAGGGAATGAATGTTAGGTAACAAAAAAAAAAAGAAACAAAAAAACGGTAAAACTATTCGTACCATTTAAAAAAAAAATGGATATTTGATGGCTGCAGTGAGCGGTATGGGCCCAGTTGGGTTCTACTTTATAGTATGCTCTTTTTACCCAATGGGGTTTAGGCCTAAAGTCAGACTTGAGTTCATGTAGAGGCATGTGTCAGCTGTGATAACTATTGGAGAGACTTAGACTAATTAAGATCACTGACAGATCATTTGGGGAGGGGTGAGGCACGGAGGGCAATCGGGGATGACAGGGACAATGTGGGAGGAGGATGGGTCATAACAGAGGGAGGGGGATGGGGAATCTAGGATGGTAAAACAAAAGGCAAGGTATGCAGGACACAAGAATTGGGAAATTATTTGCTGAGAACATATATGTTGACGTGCTTGATTGAGCCAATGCACAGTGTATTTTGGATGGAAAATTCATTTGTGTGTTGTGATGGGGAAAAATTATAATAAAAAATAAACTATAAAAAAAAAAAGAGAAGAGGATAGAGAAAGATAGCAAGTGAACAATAGAGGGGATGTTAGTGAGAAACAGATATGGTTTATTATCTGTTGAAGATGACGTGTATAGTATTCTCAACTGGACTGGTCTGGGAAGTATTTCATGATGGGTGAAGTCTTTTAATAAGCAAAATGAGAAATAGTGATTGACTGTTTTAAAAAATTATAATAATAATTATTGGGAAATGCATGGAAAAGACTTTGAATGATAAAGCGGGGAGATCGATGCCTCTGTATTGACTGACATGCATGGCATTCCCTTTTGAAAAAGCAATGGAAGTCAATGTAAAGTTATATGTAATCCAATGTAATATAAAGAAGATTATGATAATAAAAAAAAAATAAAAAATAAAAGGACACACACACACAAAAAAAGTAGTATGAGTATGTTAAATGTGGTATTTTTCACCAATCCCATGAGCACCTTGGGGAGATAGGCTCTTTTGGAATACTCAGAGGTACTGGATCCCCATTTCAAAGAGAAACATTTCTCTTGTTTATTCTGGTTTATATTTTCACTTAAGATTTTTTAAAGTTAAGTTTAAGCTTTTTAAAAGTTAGTTTTGAGAATAAAAAAAAAAAAAAAAAAAAAAAGTCAATCTTCGGACCTGTCCCATGCTCTAGTGGTTAAGGGAGCTAGATCCCACTTGGTCAAACACATGGTTCAAATCCCGGCCTCAGCGACTTGAGAAACTTGCCAACTATGCAAACATGACCCAAATCCTGGAAAGACGGAGGCAAGGAGGGGAAGGGGCTGCAGCGTGACTACGCCCTACTGTGGGGGGCGGGGGTGTTTCTCCCTTGCCTCTTTGTCTCTTTGTCTCTCCCTGGTAAGTGCATGCATCCTCTGGTAAATAAATGAAAAAAACCCCTCATATTAATTTTAAGACTGTATCAAATAAACTTCAAATTGCTCTAAGTGGTGCTGCTGTAGTGGGAAAAACACTCATGAGTCAGAAATAGAAGGCAACTATAGAAATACGTGTGTAACTGTTAAAATAACATGTTTATGCTTACACCACTGGAGGTGATCAGTGGCAACAGTGTACACACCACACTTTAGGAAACATAGTGTTAGATTTCAAAGCAAAGGTTCTCAAGCTTGGATGCAAATGAAGTCACCCAGTGAGTTGTTAAAGCACTGAAGCCCAGGCCCTGGCGGCAGGCACTCTGACTTAATTAGCCTGCAGGGCTTAAGCACCTGCATGCGGACTGCCCAGGCAATCCTGATATGCAACCCCATTGGGACCCATGGCCTTAAACCAACAGCTCTCAAAGTATGAACCCAGGTCCGGCAGCATCAGCGTCCTTGGGACTGGTCAGGGATGGACATGGGCATTTTGGGTCTGCTCCAGCCCTGCTGAATAAGGAATTCTGGGGGGGGAGGGCACAGTCACCCACATTTCCTGTTTCTTTCTTCTTCTTCTTCTTCTTCTTCTTTTTTTTTTTTGTGTGTGTATGTGGGGGGGGGGGGGGGGGGGCGCACTGTTAGTGGGAGACAGAGTCCCGGAGAGAGGGAGGAGGGCGAGCACTGCCCAGCGGGGATGGCCACACCTCCACACTCTCCATTTCCCCGTCACTTTGGGATTTGGGGTACCAAGCACACCCACCCAGGGTGCTTCAAGCTGCTGGTCTGGGACTCGGATTACAGCTGGTCCTGCGGGATCTGGGCCTCCAGGCCATGGGCCGGCCCAGCGATCCGATCCGAGGCACCCGAGTGTGAGAGCCCTGCTCGGAACCATGGATTAGTTTGTGTCTAGGAGGGTTGGAGGTGAGCAGTCATGGCTCTGGATCCTCCGGGTCTCTTTTAGCCCACCCCAGACTTTCATTAGCTGAAATGATGCAGACTTCCGGACAGCCTCGTCCAGGGTGCCAAAGCATGTAAGGGTGTCACGGCCCTTCTGGACAACCTCGTCCAGGTTGCCCAGGCGTGTAAGGGTGTGGTGGCCCTTCTGGACAACCTCGTCCAGGTTGCCCAGGCATGTAAGGGTGTGGTGGCCCTTCCCGGACAGCCTCGTCCAGGGTGCCAAGGCGTGTAAGGGTGTGACGGCCCTTCTGGACAGCCTCGTCCAGGTTGCCCAGGCATGTAAGGGTGTGGTGGCCCTTCCCGGACAGCCTCGTCCAGGGTGCCCGGGCGTGTAAGGGCGTGGCTGCCCCTCTGCTGCAGAGCGTTACCTCTCCTTAAAGTCGTCTGCACCCGCCTGGACGGTCTCCGTCTGCAGCATGAGCCGGGCGTTTTCCAGGACTGCCTCGCCAACCTAGAACGATCACATACACCAAAGGGGACAAGGTCACTGGGCATGTCCTTTGTCACTTGCCAACACTTGCATTGGGCCCAGAGCTTCTAGGGTACTCAGAGCACCTTTCTTTTTCTTTCTTTCTTTTCTTTAAGAGATATTTTTTTGCTGTAGGTTGCTGGCGCTCACCAGAGACAGAGATAGAGAGATAGGAAGTAAGAAATCATCTCCCGGAGGGATGACTACACCGCAACCCCTTCGTTCTCCTCTTGGGATTTTGGGTATGCACCCACACGTGCCCAGAGCAAGTTTGAAGCCACCAGGTCCGGGATTCAAACTGCAATCTGTCATGTGGAGCCCAGCGATATAATCATTACACCATCTGCTGTCCCCAGAGCACCTTTCTCATAATAAATATTTTTAGATTAAAGTGTCCCTCTGCAAACAATAGGCAGAAAATCTGGATATCTTTTAAGAGTTTGGAAGGGACCAGCAGTTAGCGTAATGGCTATGTCGCTGGACTTCCACGTAGTCGACCGCGGTTTGCGTCCTGGACCCGGTGGCTTAAACTCACTCTTCGGCGTGTGTGCGTGCGTGCCCAAGATCCTGAGAGGAGAACGGAAGAGAAGGGATTGCAGTGTGGCCATCCCCCCTGGGGGGGATTTCTCACTTTCTGTCTCTCTGTCTATCCGGCAAGAACACGCGCCCTATAGCAAAAACCTCCTTCCCCCCCAAAAAAAAAGTTTGTGTTTTGTTGTTGTGTTTTGTTTGTTTGTTTTTGAGAGGTTTTTGCTACAGGGCGCATGCACTCGCCAGAAAGACAGAGAGAGACAGAGAGATAAAGGTTACAATTACTTTATTTCAATTTTAGTCATTTAAATTAAATAGCCACATGAAGCTAGTGGCGAGTACATTGGACAACATGACTACAGAATTTCATTCACCCCGAAAACATGCCTGGGAACATAAACACGGTGCTTGTAGTTCAGGGGTTTTGTGGAGCCTCGAGGAGCAGTTCTGTCAAATTTGGTTCCCAAACCTCTCAGGGCTCCTCACAGGTAGGGGCTAAGGTGGGGAGGGGGTTCTATTTTTAACCTCGGAAGCTTATTTATATACATATGTACAAGGGACTTCCAAATGTTTGTGGACATCGGAATTAAAATACGAAATGGTTTTGGTGCAACAGTTTTTAAATTGAGGCTGGCAGGTGGCATGATGGTTAGGGGCACTGGACTCCCACATGGCTGAGAATGTTTCGAGTCCTGGACCTAGCAGCTTCCTTTTTCACTTTCCCTCTCACTCTGGTCAAATTAAAAATAAATAAAGTTAAATAAACTAATTCTTAAAAATTTTTTTGAAATTTATGCATAGCTTTTTTCATAATATACATTTTCCATAATATTTTTAATGTTTTTTATTTTTTTTGAAGAGGTTTTTGCTATAGGGCACGTGTGCTCGCCAGACAGACAGAGAGAGACAGAGAGACAGAAAGCAAGAAATCACTCCCCAGGGAGGATGGCCACGCCACAATCCCTTCTCCTTCATTCTCCTCTTGGGATCTTGGGCACGCACACACACGTGCCTGGCATGAGTTTTAAGCCACCGGGTCCGGGACTCGAACCGCGGCTGACTACGTGGGAGTCCAGCAACATAGCCATTACACTAACTGCTGGTCCCTTTCCACAATGTTTTTGAAGACCATGCCCTCCCCCCATATTTACATATGTAGTTTTTCTGTAAGCTTTATTTTGGGAGGCAAAAAACCTTTTTGGAAGAAGTTTAAAAGAAGCATGCAAATCACTGCTTTATATTAATATTAGTCCTCTGCATTTGACTGTGAACGAGTTGCAAGTTCTTTTCTTTTACAAATTTTATTATTTTGCTAGAGAGCACATGTTCTTGCCAGAGAGAGAGGCAGAGAAAGAGGGAAAGGTGAAAGTGCTCCAAATGGCATGTGGTCACACTGCAATCGCTTCTCCATTTCTCCCACACAGGTACCCGGTGTGTTCCTCAAATTGCTGGGTCAGGGACTTGAACTGCCTGGTGGGCCATGTGAGATCTGGCTGATACATAGAGCCATTATGGAAAGCAGTACGGAGGTTTCGCAGAAAACTAAACATAGAATTACCATAGACCCAGCAAGTCCATTTCTAGGGACATATCCGGAGTTGCAAGTTCTTTATGGATCAGAAGGACTTCCGACACAAAGGTAAGAAACAGGAAGAAATGAGAGAGGCGACATCTGAGTATGCCTGTGTCCCAGAGTGCTCCAGGGCCAGGCTGTAGTGGGAAGAAAAAGAAAAAAGAAAGTAGCTTTGCTAGTGGGCAACTGGATGAAATGAAACCGAGTGGGATGACTACACTGGGTCCAGGAGGGCACCACGGCTGCTTCTTCCATAGCTGAGACGGGGCTCTGCCCTGCTGCCCTGGTTCCCCTCAGAGCCTGTCTCCCACTGTGTCGGGGCGGCCTTCTCTGAGGGTCAGCACCTGTTACTGTGGTCCCCGGCTCTGGCTGGAGGCAGACGTTCTGCAAATACTCGCTGAGTGGCTGGGTGTGTGAGCCGAGACCCGAGGCGAGCAGCGCCTGACCTGCTCCTGTCTCAGGTTTGAAGGTCTTTTCCTAGCAGCCCCCAAGAGGGGTGTTTAAAACGTACCCAGGATTGGGACCAGCAGTTGGAGTAATGGCTATGTCGCTGGACTCCCATGTAGTCAACCATGGTTCAAGCCCCAGACCCAGTGGCTTAAACTCACACCAGGCACGTGTGCGTGCATGCCCAAGATCCCGAGAGAAGAATGGAGGAGAAGGGATTGCGGCATGGCCATCCCCCCTGGGGGGTGATTTCTTCTTCCTGTCTCTCTGTCTCTCTCTGTCTTTCTGGTGAGCACGTGTGCCCTATAGCAAAAACCTCTCCAGGGACCAGCAGTTAGCTTGTAATGGCTATGTCGTTGAACTTCCATGTAGTCGACTGCGGTTCAAGCCCCAGACCCAGTGGCTTAAACTCACGCCAGGCGTGTGTGTGTGTGTGCTCAAGATCCCGAGAGGAGAATGGAGGAGAAGGGATTGCGGCGTGGCCATCCCCCCTGGGGGTGATTTCTCACTTTTTGTCTCTCTGTCTTTCTGGTGAGTGTACGCACCCTATAGCAAAAACCAATACAAAACAAACAAACACACACAAAACAAAACCTCTCTAAAAAAATGTACCCACGATTTAATTTTTGTTAATTTTTGTTAGGGAGGTGAGGTCAACACATCAAGAAGCAAGTGCCATTGAAGGTAGTTTATTACTCACATTTCCCAGGAGAAGAGGCTTGTCCCACCTCCTGGGCCGCATGGAGAAGCCCCAGGTTGGTCAGGAGGCAGGAGGAGTGAGGGGGGAGTGAGGGCAAATGCCCTGGTTGTGGTTTTAATGGGAAGGGATGAGCAAAGCCAGGCAAGCGTCTGGATAGACTTAGGCTCATCTAGCTCGGTAACACCAGCATTCTCTGGGAGGTCCCTAGTTGCCTGGCCTGGCCCCGGGATGATGAGGGCAGAGGAATATTGCCTTGTCTGGACTCAGCGTACTCACAGGGAGGCAGTTTACTCTCTCTAAGAGCTAGCCAGTCCTGGGAGTGGCAGCCTGGTCCCTGGGACCCCAGACGCCCGGCATCCGAATGCAGAGAATAAGCATAGCTAACGCAGTTGGACATGGCTCACAGCGAGGCTGTTGTGTGAGGCCACCCCGAGGACTGGTTGGCTGCTGTGGCTGAGCTCGCCCTTTATCCCCGTCACGGCTGGGTGCCCTTTCCGAGGCGTCAGACTTCCAGCAAGGCCATTGCACGGCTGACCGAGGTTGCAACCACCACCCTGCTCGATCTCTCCCAGCGATGCCCCGGCAAACGGTCCCCCTGAGCATCAGGCCTGCGTCACAGCTGGTGTCGGTTGTGGGCTCAGAAACCACTCTTAGAGAAGAGCAGTTCAAAGGTGCTACAGATGAGGGGCCAGCAGGTGGTGTGGCGGTTAAGGTGCTGGACTCCCACGTGGCCGACTGCAGCTCATAGTCCTGGACCTGGCGACTTGCTTTCTCACTTTCCCCTTCTCTCTCTCTCTCTGTCTCTCTCTGTCTCTTTGGTCAAATTAAAATAATAATAATAACAAATTAAATTAAAGGAATAATTTTTGAGAGGTTTTTACTATAAGACGTGTGTGCTCACCAGAAAGAGAGAGACAGAGAGACAGAAAGTGAGAAATGACCACCACCCCTCCCCCAGGGGGATGGCCACACTGCAATCCCTTCTCCTCCATTCTCTTCTCGGGATCTTGGGTACGTGCACACACACACGTGGCCAGTGTGAGTTTAAGCCATGAGGCCTGGGACTCGAACCATGGTCGACCACATAGGTGCCCAGTGACATAGGCATTATGCCAACTTCTGGTCCCAGTTTTTAAAAATGCTATAGACCAGTGGCAATACAGGGGCAGGCAGATGCAGCGCCTGTAGCTTTTACAAGTTGCGAGACCACCCCCCCTTCTTAAAAATTCTATTAATTATTATTATTGTTATTATTATTTTAAAATTTGCTATAGGCACATGCACTCACCGGAGAGACGGAGAGAAAGAGAGGGAAAATGAGAAAGCAAGTCACCAGACCTGGGACTTGATCTGTAGTCGGCCATGTGGGAGTCCAGTGATTTAACCACCACACCTCCTGCTGTCCCCCGGATACCCTTTTTTAAAAAAAGGATAAAATATGACAGATACAAAATTAGTTATAGGGCCTTGGAAAGCGTGCGTGCAGGGAAAGGGAAGCTTGAGTTCTCCATTTAAGTACGGCTTAGTTTTGTTTGTTTCTGCCTTTTTTTTTTTTTTTTGGAGAGATTTTAGCTACAGGATGTATGTACTAGCAGGAAAGACAGAAAGACAGAAAAATAGAAAGAGAAAAATCAACCCCGGAGGGGATGGCCACACCACAGTCCCTTCTCCTCCATTCTCTTGGGCACTCACGCACATGTGTCCAGCATGAGTTCGAAGCTGCTGGGTCTG